CAACTAGAAATTAAGCATACACTGACTGAAATAAAGAATATTATACAGACTCCCAACAGCAGACCAGAGGAGCGCAAGAATCAAGTCAAAGATTTGAAATACGAAGAAGAAAAAAACACCCAACTGGAAAAGCAAAATGAAAAAAGAATCCAAAAATACGAAGATAGTGTAAGGAGCCTCTGGGACAGCTTCAAGTGTACCAACATCCGAATTATAGGGGTGCCAGAAGAAGAGAGAGAGCAAGATATTGAAAACCTCTTTGAAGAAATAACGACAGAAAACTTCCCCTACCTGGTGAAAGAAATAGACTTACAAGTCCAGGAAGCGCAGAGAACCCCAAACAAAAGGAATCCAAAGAGGACCACACCAAGACACATCATAATTAAAATGCCAAGAGCAAAAGACAAAGAGAGAATCTTAAAAGCAGCAAGAGAAAGACAGTCAGTTACCTACAAGGGAGTACCCATATGACTGTCAGCTGATTTCTCAACAGAAACTTTGCAGGCCAGAAGGGAGTGGCAAGAAATATTCAAAGTGATGAATACCAAGAACCTACAACCAAGATTACTTTATCGAGCAAAGCTATCATTCAGAATTGAAGGTCAGATAAAGAGCTTCACAGATAAGGAAAAGCTAAAGGGGTTCATCACCACTAAACCAGTATTATATGCAATGCTGAAAGGTATCTTTTAAGAAGAGGAAAAAGAAGAAAAAGGTAAAGATACAAATTATGAACAACAAATACACATCCATCAACAAGTGAATCTAAAAATCAAGTGAATAAATAATCTGATGATCAGAATAAACTGGTGATTATAATAGAATCAGGGGCATAGAAAGGGAGGGACTGACTATTCTTGGGGGGGAAAGGGGTGTGGGGGATGCGGGAAGAGACTGGACAAAAATCGTGCACCTATGAATGAGGACAGTGGTGGGGGGGTGAGGGCGGAGGGTGGGAGGGGAACTGGGTGGAGGGGAGCTATGGGGGGGAAAAAGAGGAACAACTGTAATAATCTGAACAATAAAGATTTAATTAAAAAAAAAAAAACAGAGGACATACAGAAGGCCAAGAGACATATGAAAATATGCTCAAAGTCACTAATCATCCGAGATTTGCAAATCAAAATAACAGTGAGGTACCATGTCACACCTGTCAGAATGGCTATCATCAACAAATCAACAAACAACAAGTGCTGGAGAGGATGTGGAGAAAAAGGAACCCTCGTGCACTCCTGGTGGGAATGCAGACTGGTGCAGCCACTGTGGAAAACAGTATGGAATTTCCTCAAAAAAATTAAAAATGGATTCTCATAACCACTTGGCCTGGAGGTCAAACCCTCCCTGGTATTAGCTACAACAATCAAGGTTTAACTATAAGACTGCGCACAAAGACCACTAGGGGGTGCACCAAGGAAGCATAACAAAATGCGGAGACAAAGAAACAGGACAAAATTGTCAATGGAAGATATAGAGTTCAGAACCACACTTTTAAGGTCTCTCAAGAACTGTTTAGAAGCCGCCGATAAACTTAATGAGATCTACAAGAAAACTAATGAGACCCTCAATGTTATATTGGGGAACCAACTAGAAATTAAGCATACACGGACTGAAATAACGAATATTATACAGACTCCCGACAGCAGACCAGAGGAGCGCAAGAATCAAGTCAATGATTTGAAATGCGAGGAAGCAAAAAACACCCAACCGGAAAAGCAAAATGAAAAAAGAATCCAAAAATGCGAGGATAGTGTAAGGAGCCTCTGGGACAGCTTCAAGCGTACCAACATCAGAATTATAGGGGTGCCAGAAGATGAGAGAGACCAAGATATTGAAAACCTATTTGAAGAAATAATGACAGAAAACTTCCCCCACCTGGTGAAAGAAATGGACTTACAGGTCCAAGAAGCGCGGAGAACCCCAAACAAAAGGAATCCAAAGAGGACCACACCAAGACACATCATAATTAAAATGCCAAGAGCAAAAGATAAAGAGAGAATCTTAAAAACAGCAAGAGAAAGAAACTCAGTTACCTACAAGGGAATACCCATACGACTGTCAGCTGATTTCTCAACAGAAACTTTGCAGGCCAGAAGGGAGTGGCAAGAAATATTCAAAGTGATGAATACCAAGAACCTACAACCAAGATTACTTTATCCAGCAAAGCTATCATTCAGAACTGAAGGTCAGATAAAGAGCTTCACAGATAAGGAAAAGCTAAAGGAGTTCATCACCACCAAACCAGGATTATATGAAATCCTGAAAGGTATCCTTTAAAGAAGAGGAAGAGGAAGAAAAAGGTAAAGATACATATTATGAACAACAAATATGCATCTATCAACAAGTGAATATAAGAATCAAGTGAATAAATAATCTGATGAACAGAATGAACTGGTGATTATAATAGAATCAGGGACATAGAAAGGGAATGGACTGACTATTCTTGTGGGGGAAAGGGGTGTGGGAGATGCGGGAAGAGACTGGACAAAAATCGTGCACCTATGGATGAGGACAGTGGGTGGGGAGTGAGGGCGGAGGGTGGGGCGGGAACTGGGAGGAGGGGAGTTATGGGGGGGGAAAAAGAGGAACAAATGTAATAATCTGAACAATAAAGATTTAATTAAAAAAAAAAGAAAGAAAAAAAAAATTAAAAATGGAACTCCCATTTCACCCCGTGACTCCACTTCTAGGAATATATCCCAAGAAACTAGAAACACCAATCAGAAAGGATATATGTTCATAGCAGCACAATTTACAATAGCTAAGATTTGGAAACAGCCTAAGTGCCCATCAACAGATGAGTGGATTAAAAAACTGGTATATTTACACAATGGAATACTACGCTGCTGTAAAAAAGAAGGAATTCTTACCATTTGCAAAGCATGGATGGACCTGGAGAGCATTGTGCTAAGCAAAATAAACCAGTTGGAAAAAGATAAATATCACATGATCTCACTCATTTGTGGAATATAATGAACAACATAAATTGATGAGCCAAAATAGGAAAAACAATATTTTAGAATATAATAGAAGTAATCCTGCCGAAACCGGTTTGGCTCAGTGGATAGAGCGTCGGCTTGCGGACTGAAAGGTCCCAGGTTCGATTCCGGTCAGGGGCATGTACCTGGGTTGCGGGCACATCCCCGGTGGGAGATGTGCGGGAGGCAGCTGATCGATGTTTCTCTCTCATCGATGTGTCTAACTCTCTCCCTTCCTTTCTGTAAAAAATCAATAAAATATATTAAAAAAAAAAAAAAAAGAAGTAATCCTGTTATTTGGAGATTTTTTAAGATTTCCTACAACTTTTGTGATATTATACTATGTTAGTACAGTTTTGGTAATATCATATTTAAAATATTTTTTTCTTGAAATATTAATGTGTATTGCATGTAACATTATATTTAAAACCATTTTTCTTGGGGAAGAAATCACAAAAAACACAAACCAGCACATGCCTCACTCATGTAGCTGTTATGCTTGGACTATTAGATGGGGAGATGCCTAGACAGAGCATGAGGACCCCCACCCTTGCTGAGCCTGCAATCCTGGTGGGATTTAAGGAGGTCAGACAGGACACTGTCTGGTAGTCATGTAACTGCTGAGCAGAGGAAAAGCATGATTTAGGGCAATGGTTCTCAACCTGTGGGTCGCGACCCCTTTGGGGCTTGAACAACCCTTTCACAGGGGTCGCCTAAGACCATTGGAAAACACATATATAATGACATATTGTTTTTGTGATTAATCACTATGCTTTAATTATGTTTAATTTGTAACAATGAAAATACATCCTGCATATCAGATATTTACATTACGATTCATAACAGTAGCAAAATTACAGTTATGAAGTAGCAACAAAAATAATTTTATAGTTGGTGGTCACTACAACATGAGGAACTGTATTAAAGGGTCGTGGCATTAGGAAGGTTGAGAACCACTGATTTAGGGTCAGGTACTTTTTGTTGATATAAGAATTGCTCTAATCGTAATTCCTTTAATCCACAGTATGCCCATGAAATAGTCACATGTGAGCTAAGAGACTGAAATGAGCACGAGGTTATGTCTTTCGCTGGGGGGTCAAACCCATCGTCTGCAGAATAAAGGTTCCTAAAGTTCTAAATATCTGGTTCATTTTCCACAATGGCTTTTACTGGAATAGTGTTATTGAAATCATTTTTACTTAGGATGCTCCACCCACTTCCCCAGTCTGTGTAGACCTCCAGAAAGGACTGGTGATCCATGGGCTGGAACAACTAGGTAAGCAAGTGGACGAGGATTTACTGCGTGCCTGTCTGCAATACATGCGCGGGGCAGACACACATCCGCTGCTCTCCAACGGCACCTGAGGTGCCAGGAACCGCAGGCGCCATTTGCTAGCCTGGCCAACATTCAGGAGCTAGTGGACGAGGCGTGGCACAGCCACAGAGGAGCCCTGCCAGGAGACAAGGGAAGGGAGACCCACACAGTGCAGTACCCGCTGTTGCCAAGCACCGGCCAGGAACCGTCACTGGTCGTCTCACTGAATTCTCATGAGAAACTTAGTGGTACCATCTCTATTTACACATAAGGAAATGAGGCTCAGAGTTCGTGAAGTAAGTTCTCCGGGGTTCTGGAGCAAGGCCTTGTCGCGACTTGCCCTCGGATGCCTGCATCTTCAGAGCGGATCTCGCTCTCCAACATCACCCGCATGATGCCCAACGCCAGGAAGAAACGGAAGACCTTTCCTTTGGACCAAACCAATGGGAACCACAGATGTGGGAACCCCAGGATCAGGCCGAGCCCACTGTGCACGTGGACAGAGGGCCAGGAACCCACCACGTGGCACCAGCCCCTGCACGGCACTGCCCGCGGCCACCACGCAGCCCTGGCTCACCCCTGGGAGCGGCTGGGCCTGCGCTCAGGGGAGGACTCCTTTTTGGAAGCCGCGCAGTGACTGACAGTCCTCTCTCCCCACACTGCCCACCGCGCCTGGACTTGTTTCCGCATTCCCGGTTCGGGCAGCTCACCTCCTTGTGGGAGTCTTTGTGGGCCTCCAGAGTCTTCATGATCGTCAGCTCGGCGTAGTTTTTGAATCTTGCTGGCTGGTTTCTCAGAATCTCCCGTAAAACTCTCAGCGCCAGCGCGCGAATGGAATGCTGGGGAACAGGAGGAAGGAAGACGTCAGCAGCCTGCACCCACGCACACACCCGGTGGCAGGGTCCAGGGCACCGAGCGTCCGCAGACGCCTGGACACGGTTACTCTGCTGACCTGCTGGGCTCTCGGACAGCCAGCTCCATGAGCAGCCCGTGCCCCTGGTGGCATTCCCAGGACCCTGCCCACACCTAAGAGGGGCCTGATGAAGGTTTCTTCAATGAGCCAAATGAGGACAATGGAGCTCTGGGGATGGGGACTTCCTGAGGCTCAGAGATGCAAACCACTCTGTGTCAAATGCCCAGAGGACAGGTAAACGGCGCCTGGACACCGGGACGCGTGGCTTGTAAGACTGTGAGCTCTCCAAGGGCAGCTGAGACCTGTCATTCTCCCGACCTGCTGAGTGATGAGGCCACGGGGGAGGGGACTGTACCAGCCTCGAGGTGCTCGAGGACCTTGAGGCCCGGGTCATGTGTCTGGAGGAAAGCCATTCTAAACAGACTCCTAATCTCAATAAAAGAGAATGGAGTTTACACCAAACACAGCCAAAAAGTACATCCTGATTCTTTGTCACTCACCTGTGCAATTCACCCTCCACCCCGTTCTGCTGCCTCTACATGACATCGCTCTATCTCCCGACCTCAAAGCCCAACCCAGGAGAAGGGCTTCAGAAACCAATGCTTTGTTTTAAGAAAAGGTGATACCGATCTTTCATCACCATTCTTCTAGCCTCCCTCAGCCTGTTCTAGACCAAACCACTAATCCTAAGCAGCAAAAAGCAATCCAAGTCAGCGTGACACTCCCAGCCTCCGGCTCCCCTGTCTCCCATTCCCACCACCGTCAGCATGAGCCTGGGCATGACCTTCACCGTGGGCTGTGTCGAATTTCAGCCCGGGCCTGCCCTGGAGCTCTTCCCCACGCTCAGGCGATTGCTGTTTCTGCTGCGGACACAGAGCCCAGCGCAGAGGGGCGCGGCTTACTTGGCAATCCCTCCATTTACTCCTGTCTCTGTGGACGGGCCAGCGGCACGGGGCAGGAAGGCAGGACTCTGGGTTCTTCCCACCTCTAAGATTACATAGCAAATGCCTAGTGTGTCACATTCAGATGTCACCGTGTGAAGAGGGCCTTTACTTTAAAATTAACAACAGAAAATAACAGGCGATGCTAACCACCCCGGTTCCTGAGCCTGGCGCGCGGCCCTGATGCACGCGTGGGTGAACGGAGGCAGAATGTGCCGGAATGCAGCATTTCGTAGGGTCTTTAAAAAGGAACTTTTCTGTTTCACAATTAAACATGAAACAAAAATAAAAGTCACAAGGATAAAAGCTCATTGTTACAAACGACATTTTAAGCTAACAGAGTTGTAAGAACTTTTGTGTAAAGTGACCTGACGCAGGAACAAGTCCCCTCATCGACGTGAGCGTACTCTAGGTGGGGCTTGCTCCCTGGGCTCCGAGGCCAGTTCAGGCGTGCTTTGATGTAAACTGTGAGCCCAGTAGGAAAGGAGAGCTGAGCCACCCCACAAGGGCAGCCCCCCACCCCCGGAAGGGAATGCAGAAGAGCAGCTCTCACGTCTTTGTCCCCAAGGGTCTCCAGGAGCAGGAGCAGGATGGTCTTGAAGTGCTCCTCCCAGACGCCCAGGCTGTCCTCCCGGGTGACCTTGAGCAGCTCCAGCAGGGCGCCCTTCCGCTCCTCCACGCGCTCGTTGTGGTTGGACAGCTCTTTCAGAAGGTCCGCCACCAAGTCCGAATGGTCAATGGGCACTTGTGAGACACAACACACACGTTACTGCATGAGGGACGCCGGCTGCAGGTGCTGCCTCAGCGACGCAGCCGCCCTCCTCTGCCCTCCGGTCTCTTCCCATCACCCCCTCCATCCTGACCTGCGGCCGAGCCTCACTCTACACCCACAGCAGGTCATTCCACCAAACTAACTGTCAAAACAGAGGTGGGCCCAGCCAGCGCGGCTCAGCGCTTGAGCACCGACCTCTATGGTCCAGGAGGTCACAGTTTGACTCCCAGTCAGGACACATGCCGGGGTTGTGGGCTTGATCCCCAGGGGGCGGTGTGCAGGAGGCAGCTGATGAATGATTCTCTCATCACTGATGTTTCTCTCTCTCTCTCCCTTCCTTTCTGAAATCAATAAAAATATATTTTAAAAACCCAAACAAAGGTGGGAGAATAGGTATCGAGCACCAATACTCAATGTCTCTACCCTGCCTTACCATCTTCCCACCTTCCCACTCAGACAAAGAGGAGAAACTGCCATTTCTTTCATCGGTTCACAGAGAAGAAGCCCTCGCAAAGCCCGTCCTAACTCCATCTCCACTCGACAGTCCTGCGTCAGGCGCTGCCACGGAACCCGCTCACTAGCACCCCCTCCACCAGAGCACGCTTTCCTCAAGGCACTCCTCACAGTTCCCTCCCACCAACACCCACCCGCCTCGGAGTGTCCAGAGGTTAGGAGCTAGCATAGGAAACAGACACCAGCCAAGGTCGACTGTCAAACTTCCCAAGGCCTCTAGTGAATGACTTGCAAGGACTTGAACCATATGGCAGGGGAGCATATCCCTTCTCTGCGTGTTCTTTTAAGAGACCTCCACTCTGAATTCACTTTAAGTAGAAAGCGTGAAGAAACAAGTCAGACAAATCATCGGGAACTACTTTTTTTTTTTTAAAGATATATTTTTATTGATTTCAGAGAGGAAGGGAGAGGGAGGGAGAGATAGAAACATCAATGATGAAAGAGAATCATTGATCAGCTGCCTCTTGCATACCCCCTGCTGGGGATCGGGCCTGCAACCCAGGTATGTGTCCTTGAGTGGAATCGAACCCAGGACCCTTCAGTCCTCAGGCTGACAGTCTATCCAAACCAGCTCGGGTAGGAACTACTTAATTTGCATGTGCACATTTCTTTAGATCCCAAAATTGGGGAACAAATACAGAAGAAAGTCTGAAATGTGAAAGAACTCTATCATTTCCCCTGCTCTCCCACCTTTTTCTTCAAGTCTTTTATTATCCAGTTGCTGAATAAATAACAACCAACATCCTAATCTCCATTCCATCTGCAATAAGACCCACAGTGGTAAGTGAAATGATGCACCAAGTCTATGAGCAATGAAAGGCCACAGGCCAGTGGTCCAGAAAGGGCAGTCAGACCAACACTAACTGAACCTCTGCCAGGGAGCAGACGCCTGGGGTGCACGCTGCAGCCACCAGCAGTGAGCTCGGAACAGCCGGACTATGCTTTCACCGGCTAGACTTCTCCACGCTGCACCCCCCCACCCCCGCGCCGGGCCCTAAGAAGTATATATGTATGCTTTTAAAAAACTGACTACTAAGTTGGGTCGGCTTTAGCGCAGGCAGTTCCTCTGTCATGCAGACAGCTAAAATGACTACTAAGCTGAAATAACTCAAAATGTGTCAACATGACAATGAGGTGGAAAACAAATTAAGTTCCAGATAAAATACCATCACACCGAAATATACTTACTCACTTGTTCCTCAGTAAAGGACACGGTCTTAACAGAGTCAGAAAAAGCCAGACTAGTTCTATTCCATAGTGAACATGCTACACTTGGGCAAGGAACTCAACCTTTCTGAACCTCAGCTTCTTAATCTGCAGAACCGAAACAACTGCCGCTATGTCCACTGGATGCCGTGTATAAAGCACGAGTACTATGTCCACTGGGTGCTGTGTATAAAGCATGAGCACTATGTCCACTGCATGCCATGTATAAAGCATGAGCACTATGTCCACTGGATGCCGTGTATAAAGCGTGAGCGCTATGTCCACTGGATGCCGTGTATAAAGCGTGAGCACTATGTCCACTGCATGCCATGTATAAAGCATGAGCACTATGTCCACTGGGTGCTGTGTATAAAGCACGAGTGCTATGTCCACTGGATGCTGTGTATAAAGCACGAGTGCTATGTCCACTGGATGCCGTGTATAAAGCGTGAGCACTATGTCCACGGGGTGCCATGTATAAAGCGTGAGCGCTATGTCCACGGGGTGCCATGTATAAAGCGTGAGCACGATGTCCACTGGATGCCGTGTGTAAAGCGTGAGCACTATGTCCACACTGGATACCCTGTGTAAAGCGTGAGCCCTTCCTCACCTTGGATGCCGTGTGTAAAGCGTGAGAGCTCTTCACACTGGACGCTGTGTGTAAAGCATGAGAGCTCTTCACACTGGACGCTGTGTGTAAAGCATGAGAGCTCTTCACACTGGACGCTGTGTGTAAAGCATGAGAGCTCTTCACACTGGACGCTGTGTGTAAAGCATGAGAGCTCTCCACACTGGACGCTGTGTGTAAAGCATGAGAGCTCTTCACACTGGACGCCGTGTGTAAAGCATGAGAGCTCTCCACACTGGACGCCGTGTGTAAAGCATGAGAGCTCTCCACACTGGACGCTGTGTGTAAAGCATGAGAGCTCTTCACACTGGACGCTGTGTGTAAAGCATGAGAGCTCTCCACACTGGACGCCGTGTGTAAAGCATGAGAGCTCTCCACACTGGACGCTGTGTGTAAAGCATGAGAGCTCTTCACACTGGACGCCGTGTGTAAAGCATGAGAGCTCTCCACACTGGACGCTGTGTGTAAAGCATGAGAGCTCTCCACACTGGACGCTGTGTGTAAAGCATGAGAGCTCTTCACACTGGACGCTGTGTGTAAAGCATGAGAGCTCTTCACACTGGACGCTGTGTGTAAAGCATGAGAGCTCTTCACACTGGACGCTGTGTGTAAAGCATGAGAGCTCTCCACACTGGACGCTGTGTGTAAAGCATGAGAGCTCTTCACACTGGACGCCGTGTGTAAAGCATGAGAGCTCTCCACACTGGACGCCGTGTGTAAAGCATGAGAGCTCTCCACACTGGACGCTGTGTGTAAAGCATGAGAGCTCTTCACACTGGACGCAGTGTGTAAAGCATGAGAGCCCTCCACACTGGCCGCCGTGTGTAAAGCATGAGAGCTCTCCACACTGGACGCTGTGTGTAAAGCATGAGAGCTCTCCACACTGGACGCCGTGTGTAAAGCATGAGAGCTCTCCACACTGGACGCTGTGTGTAAAGCATGAGAGCTCTTCACACTGGACGCTGTGTGTAAAGCATGAGAGCTCTCCACACTGGACGCTGTGTGTAAAGCATGAGAGCTCTCCACACTGGACGCTGTGTGTAAAGCATGAGAGCTATTCACACTGGACGCCGTGTGTAAAGCATGAGAGCTCTTCACACTGGACGCTGTGTGTAAAGCATGAGAGCTCTTCACACTGGATACCGTGTGTAAAGCATGAGAGCTCTTCACACTGGACGCCGTGTGTAAAGCATGAGAGCTCTTCACACTGGACGCCGTGTGTAAAGCATGAGAGCTCTTCACACTGGACGCTGTGTGTAAAGCATGAGAGCTCTTCACACTGGACGCCGTGTGTAAAGCATGAGAGCTCTTCACACTGGACACCGTGTGTAAAGCATGAGAGCTCTCCACACTGGACGCCGTGTGTAAAGCATGAGAGCTCTCCACACTGGACGCCGTGTGTAAAGCATGAGAGCTCTTCACACTGGACGCTGTGTGTAAAGCATGAGCGCTCTCCACACTGGACGCTGTGTGTAAAGCATGAGAGCTCTCCACACTGGATGCCGTGTGTAAAGCATGAGCGCTATGTCCACTGGATGCCGTGTATAAAGCGTGAGCACTATGTCCACTGGGTGCCGTGTATAAAGCGTGAGCACGATGTCCACTGGGTGCCGTGTATAAAGCGTGAGCACGATGTCCACTGGATGCCGTGTATAAAGCGTGAGCACTATGTCCACTGGGTGCCGTGTATAAAGCGTGAGCACTATGTCCACTGGGTGCCGTGTATAAAGCGTGAGCGCTATGTCCACTGGATGCCGTGTATAAAGCGTGAGCACTATGTCCACTGGGTGCCGTGTATAAAGCGTGAGCGCTATGTCCACTGGATGCCGTGTATAAAGCGCGAGCACTATGTCCACTGGGTGCCGTGTATAAAGCGTGAGCGCTATGTCCACTGGATGCCGTGTATAAAGCGTGAGCGCTATGTCCACTGGATGCCGTGTATAAAGCGTGAGCACTATGTCCACTGGGTGCCGTGTGTAAAGTGTGTGCGCTATGTCCACTGGATACCGTGTGTAAAGCGTGAGCGCTATGTCCACTGGATGCCGTGTGTAAAGTGTGTGCGCTATGTCCACTGGATACCGTGTGTAAAGCATGAGTTCTGTTCACACTGGATACCGTGTGTAAAGCATGAGCCCTTTCACAGCTTGGATGCCATGTGTAAAGCATGAGAGCTCTCCACACTGGACGCCGTGTGTAAATCATGAGCACTATGTCCACACTGGATGCCGTGTGTAAAGCGTGAGCACTATGTCCACACTGGATACCCTGTGTAAAGCGTGAGCCCTTCCTCACCTTGGATGCCGTGTGTAAAGCGTGAACGCTCCCCACCTTGGATGCCGTGTGTAAAGCATGAGAGCTCTTCACACTGGACGCTGTGTGTAAAGCATGAGAGCTCTCCACACTGGACGCTGTGTGTAAAGCATGAGAGCTCTTCACACTGGACGCTGTGTGTAAAGCGTGAGAGCTCTTCACACTGGACGCTGTGTGTAAAGCATGAGAGCTCTTCACACTGGACGCCGTGTGTAAAGCATGAGAGCTCTTCACACTGGACGCCGTGTGTAAAGCATGAGAGCTCTTCACACTGGACGCCTTGTGTAAAGCATGAGAGCTCTCCACACTGGACGCTGTGTGTAAAGCATGAGAGCTCTTCACACTGGATACCGTGTGTAAAGCATGAGAGCTCTTCACACTGGATACCGTGTGTAAAGCATGAGAGCTCTTCACACTGGACGCCGTGTGTAAAGCATGAGAGCTCTTCACACTGGACGCCTTGTGTAAAGCATGAGAGCTCTCCACACTGGGCGCCGTGTGTAAAGCATGAGAGCTCTCCACACTGGACGCTGTGTGTAAAGCATGAGAGCTCTCCACACTGGACGCTGTGTGTAAAGCATGAGCGCTCCCCACCTTGGATGCCATGTGTAAAGCATGAGAGCTCTCCACACTGGGCGCCGTGTGTAAAGCATGAGAGCTCTCCACACTGGGCGCCGTGTGTAAAGCATGAGAGCTCTCCACACTGGACGCTGTGTGTAAAGCATGAGAGCTCTCCACACTGGGCGCCGTGTGTAAAGCATGAGAGCTCTCCACACTGGACGCTGTGTGTAAAGCATGAGAGCTCTCCACACTGGGCGCCGTGTGTAAAGCATGAGAGCTCTCCACACTGGACGCTGTGTGTAAAGCATGAGAGCTCTCCACACTGGACGCCGTGTGTAAAGCATGAGCGCTCCCCACCTTGGATGCCGTGTGTAAAGCATGAGAGCTCTTCACACTGGATGCCGTGTGTAAAGCATGAGCGCTCCCCACCTTGGATGCCATGTGTAAAGCATGAGAGCTCTCCACACTGGACGCCGTGTATAAATCATGAGCGCTATGTCCACACTGGAAGCTGTGTGTAAAGCATGAGTGCAGCAGTGGACTAACAAGGCAATGCGAGTGCTCGGCGCAAGCCGGGGCCCATCTCCCAGCTGCAGGGCAGTCACTGGAGCAGTTCCAGGACAGTTGCCGATACGCTGGGGAGGGGAGGGGAGGGGAGCCCTGTGGTGCTTCAGACCCGACTCCCACAGCTACATGGGCAACATACTGAGCCCAGAGCTGGGACTGCCGAGCCTTTGCCCTCCACCTCACTAACTCCTCTCCTGAGCTCCTCGAGCCCTGGGTCCGAGTGACGGCTTCCCTGGTGGCGCCCTGAGCCTCCCTCACTGCAGCTTTCAGAGCTGCCACCTGAGGTCACCCGTGTGCCACTGGAGGGTGGGACTGTGTGTCCTTTTGTTCACTGTTGTGCTTTCCATGCCCAAGCACATGGCTGGACATGTAGCTGCTGAACACAGGACTAACCAGGCCTGACCCATGTCCATGTCCATTCGACCAATATGCCCAGAGTTGGTCAGACAAGAGGGGAAGCCCATGGGAGAAACTTCTGGATGGGGACAATCAAACAAAGAAAGACAAACCATCTCGAAGCTGCTCCATGTCGTCGTCAAACACGGCCTCCTTCAGGGCTGTCTTGTCGTAGGTGTTGATGGTGTCCGGGTAGGGGTACAGGTTGTAGTCGCGCGCCCGCGGCCCCGGGAAGGCGCGCGGAGGCTGGGTGTTGAGCAGGGAGGTCTTGTTGTCCAGAGCTGTTCTGCCTCCTTCCACCACGTCACTGCCGCCCCGGCCCTCCGTGGCAGGGGACGCAACTCCACCATCCCGGGATACCTGCGCACAGAACAGGTATTAGTCCTTTTTAGGACTTTTAAAAAACGTTTCCTTAAGTTTTCAGAAGCATTAGGAGAGCCAGAGACTTCTCACTTGAAATTTGGCCACTAACAAAAGAACAGTTGTTAGAATTTCAATTTGTAAATATCTACTTCATAAACTGCCTAAAAGGGAACAGAATATGCTTATATTGTCATCTCTTCTTTCATTAAATTACACGTAAAATCTGTTTTACTTTGAACGAGGGATTAACTTTACGCAAACATTTTTTGAGAGATTAATAACATGAAATTCTGAAAGTCCCTTGAGAATGAAGGCCACAGCCCCATCCCGCTCCTCAGAGCCCTGGACCAGCACTGCAGCCTGTCACTTCCTGTAAACAGCAGGGCTTCCTCTGCGGCCCGACACCAGGCCGACAGGCCCCAACCACCACCACCAGACCGAACGCGGTTCTGCTGTCCGAGAACCCCTTGCACATGGCCCACCACGCGGGGAGCCAAACCATGGCTAATGGTCTCTAGCAATGGAGGACTCAGGATCCCCTACGGGTCGTCCTTCCTTTGCATGTTTCTGACTCTGAGTTGGTCTTTACGTTGGGTCAAAGAACAGGTCTTTTGCCCTCGCCAGTTTGGCTCAGTGGATAGAGCATTGGCCTGTGGACCGAAGGGTCCCGGGTCCGATTCCGGTCAAGAGCATGTACCTCGGGTACGGGGTCCTCCCCAGCCCAGGCCCCGGTCAGCGTGCAGGAGGCAACCAGTCGATGTGTTTCTCTCACATCAATATTTCCTCTCAGTCTTTCCCTGTCTCTAAAAACCAATGGGAAAATTACCTTTAGGTGAAGATAAAAAAAAAGAACAGGTCTCTTATTGTTTTCCAAAAAATCTTTTTTCTAATAGCTTCTGAGTCTTGTCTTCAACAAATGAAAGCCCTGGTCCTCTGTCCCTGCCATGCTTTTGACTCCTTAACTCTCAGCATCCCTTCTCCGGGGCCTTTTGCTGGCAGCACTGGGACAAGAGCGGGCATGGGCTGCCTGGGGAACAGCAGACCTGTCTTCTCCTCACCCAGACATGTGACTAAAGCAAGTGAAAACAGCCTCAGCAGTCAGACTCCTTGTGCTGATGCACTTATACTTACATCATTTCAACCCTAAGTGTACAATTCAGCAACATTAAACCCATTCACAGTCTTGTGAAACCATTATCCACCACTGTTAGATTTTGGGCAACACTTTTTCATCTTTCCTAACTGAAACTCTGTATCCATCATGTACTAACTCCCGCCCTCCCAGCCTGGTAACCTCTGTTCTACGTTCTGCCTCCATGAATGTGAGGACTCTAGGTGCCTCACATAAGTGGAGGCACACAGCACCTATTTGTCTGTGTCTGGCTTATTTCACTTAGCATACTATTTTCAAATTGCATTGGTGTTGCAACATGTGTCAGTATCACACTCCTTTTTTAGGGCTAATAGTCTTCCACTGCACACACACATCACATTTAAAAATCCATTTATCTGTTGATAGAAACTTCGTTCTCCACCTTTTGGCTATTATGAATAATGCTCCTATGAACCCTGGTATAGAAATTTGTGTTCAAGTCCCTTCTTCCAACTTTTTTGGACATATACCTAGTGAAACTGCTGGAACGTACGTGATTAACACCCCTCCCAAAAGATTGTCTACTAATATAATACTATTGTAAAATACATGCATGGATATGAGCAAAACGATTTAACAGGGGTTTTCTCTCAGGGAAGATAATTCACAGATGATTTTTAATTTTCTTCTTTTTGTAACTCTCTTCTAAAAATAAAACATACCTTTATAATGAAAAATGATTTGTAAAGGGAGAGTTTTAAAGAACAAAGACATTCAAAAAACAAAGCTAAACTATCCTAACTCTAATCACTTAAAATCTTACTTTTTAAACTTTGCTTTTTATCTCTGTCCTTGTCTACATGCATGTTTTATAGTGTGGGAATCACAGTGCACATACTGCAATATACAGGGTGTCCCAAAAATGTACACACACACTGTGAATACCTATAAAGGCAGTGTTTATTAAAATAATCTCATTTTCAAAATTGAGCTACCCACTGTTAAAGGGTGTATACATTTTTGGGACGCACTGTATTTTGCTTTCCTCGTAGCGTAAGCATGTCCCACACAGTTTTTATAACCTTAACTAGAGGCCCGGTGAATGACATTCATGAACTGCGGAGGGGGGCGGGAAGAGAGGGGAGGGATCCTCAGCCCGCCCTGCGCCCTCTCAGTCTGGGACCCCTGAGAGGATGTCTGCCTGCTGGCTTAGGCGGACATCCCCCCTCGGGGTCTTTAGCGCTGCGTCAGAGGCGGGAGAGGCTCCTGCCACCGCTGCTGCGCTCGACAGCCATGAGCACGGCTTCCAGCTGAGAGGTGCTCCCCCTGTGGGAGCGCACTGACCACCAGGAGGCAGCTCCTGCGTTGAGCATCTGCCTCCTGGTGGTCAGTGTGCATCATAGTGACCAGTTGTTCTGCCGTTCAGTTGATTTGCATATTAGCCTTTTATTATAATACTAGAGGCCCGGTGCACAAAAATTTGTGCACTCAGGGGGGAGGGGGGTCCTTCAGCCCGGCCTGTGCCCTCTCGCAGTCTGGGACCCCTCGGGAGATAACGACCTGCTGGCTTAGGCCTGCTCCCGGGTGGCAGAGGGCAGGTCCAGTCCCTAGGTGCAGCCCCTGATCGGGCTCAGAGCAGGGCTGATTGGGGAGTTGGGGTACCGCCCCCTGTCATACACAGAGCAGGGCGATCGGGAGGTTGTGATTCCACCCTCAGTCAGGCTCAGGGTAGGGCCGATTGGGGGGTTGGGGCACCATCCCGTCATACTCAAGGCAGGGTCGATGGGGAGGTTGCGGCGCCACCCCCTGTCATGCACAGAGCAGGGCCAATCAGGGGGGTTGGGGCTCTGTACCCTGTCACGCACAAAGCAAGGCCAATCAGGGGGGTGGGGCGCTGCCCCCTGTCACACACAGAGCAGGGCCCATCAGGGGTTGGGGCGCCACCCTCTATCACCCACAGAGCAGGGCCAATCAGGGGGTTGGGGTGCTGCCACTCTCACACTCAGGGCAGGGCCGATGGGGAGGTTATGGCTCTACCCCGTCACAAACAGAGCAGGGCCCATGGGGGGATGGGGGGGTTGGGGCGCCGCACCGTCACACACAGAGCAGGGCCAATCAGGGGGTTGGGGCGCCGCACCCTGTCACACACAGAGCCGCAAGGCGATCAGGGGGTTTGGGTGCTGCCCCCTGTCATGCTGATCCCGGTGCTGGGAGGCATATTACCCTTTTACTATATAGGGTAGAGGCCTGGTGCATGGGTGGGTGCCGGCTGGTTTGCCCTGAAGGGTGTCCTGGATCAGGGTAGGGGTCCCCACAGGGGTGCCTGGCCAGCCTGGGTGAGGGGATGATGGCTGTTTGCAGCTGGTCACAGACCCTTCAGGGTGGGGGTCCCAACTGGGGTGCCTGGCCAGTCTGGGTGAGGAGCTGAGGGCTGTTTTCAGGCTGGGGGTGAATGAAGTTCCCAACCGCTCCTTTTTACCTTTTTTTTTTTCTTTATTCTGAGCCAGCTTTAGCTTTGAGGCTTGGCTCCAGCTCTTAGGCCTCCGCTGCTGAAAGTAGGTTTCTGGCCTTTGCTTACAATGTTACGATCCTGCTGGCTGAAGCCTGGCAGGTTTCTGGGGTTTTGTTTAGCTTCTATGTTTGTTACATAGTTGCTGCAGCTCAGAGGCCTGCAGCGGCAGGCGGGGAACTTTGGAGTCCTCCGTCACTGAAGCAAGCAAGCCTCATGTTAGTTTCAAGCTGCCTGGCTGCCGGCTGCCATCTTGGCTGGCAGTTAATTTGCATATTGCCCTGATTAGCCAATGGGAAGGGTAGCGGTCGTACGCCAATTACCATGTTTCTCTTTTATTAGATAGGACTAGAGGCCCGGTGCACAAAAATTTGTGCACTCGGGGGGATGGGGAGTCCCTCAGGAGATAATGACCTGCTGGCTTAGGCCTGTTCCTGGGTGGCAGAGGGCAGTCCCAATCCCTAGGTGCAGCCCCTGGTCGTGCTCAGAGCAGGGCTGATTGGGGAGTTGGGGCGCCACCCGTCATGAACAGAGCAGGGCAGATCGGGAGGTTGCGATGCCACCCTCAGTCACGCTCAGGGTAGGGCTGATTGGGGGGTTGGGGCACCGGCCCCTGTCACACTCAAGGCAGGGTCGATGGGGAGGTTGCGGCGCCACCCCGTCATGCACAGAGCAGGGCCCATCAGGGGGGTTGGGGCTCTGTACCTTGTCACGCACAGAGCAGGGTCGATCAGGGGGTTGGGGAGCTCCACCTGTCACGCACAGAGCAGGGCCCATTAGGGAGTTGGGGAGCTCCCCCGTCACTCACAGTAGGGCCGATAGGGGAGTTGGGGCACTGCCCCCTGTCACGCACAGAGCAGGGCCAATCAGGGGGTTGAGGAGCTCCCCCGTCACTCACAGTAGGGCCGATAGGGGAGTTGGGGCACTGCCCCGTCACACACAGAGCAGGGCGGATCAGGGGGTTGGGGCGCCACACCCTGTCACACTCAGGGCAGGGCTGATTGGGAGGTTATGGCTCTACCCCGTCACACACAGAGCAGGGCCGTGGGGGGGGGGGGGGGTTGGGGCGCCGCCCGCTATCACCCACAGAGCAGGGCCGATCAGGGGGTTGGGGCGCCGCCACTGTCACACTCAGGGCAGGGTCGATGGGGAAGTTATGGCTCTACCCTGTCACACACAGAGCAGGGCCCGTGTGGGGGGGTTGGGGCGCCGCACCCTGTCACACACAGAGCAGGGCCGATCAGGGGGTTGGGGCACCGCACCCTGTCACACAGAGCTGCAGGGCGATCAGAGGGTTGGTGAGCTCCCCACTATCAGGCACAGAGCAGGGCTGATCAGGGGGTTGGGGTGCCTTCCCGTCACAAACAGAGCAGGGCGGATAGGGAGGTTGTGGCT